TCATTATTTACAGACCACCCGATAAATTTTGATTTTGAGATTTTCATAATATGTGATATCTAAAACTGAAACTGTCTAAAATTACTTTCACTCAATAGTGTAATTTTTTGATATTCTGAAATTCTAAAACCTATCTGATATTCCAAAACCCTATCCGAAATTAATTCATATATACGAAATTTATAAATAATAGAATATTTAACATTTGATAAATAAAAATATTTAAAAATAAAATTTAAACAGTTTATTTATTATGTAATCAATTATTAATATCAAAAAAAATCATTAATCATCTATATATTTATCCGCAATGGCTTTTGGATTCCAATCTCCATCTATATCATCTACAGTATTACTATTACTACTAATACTATGAATATCATTGTCATCTACATTTTCTTTCATGATTTTATCTAGACCTGACATAATTTCCTTCACATATAAATTTACTAAACATTCAATTTCTTCCTTATAATTAAATAATGTAAAAGAAATCGAAAAATTAAAGTTCCAAAAAAAAATAAATGAATTACGGTTAAAACTATTTAGACAAAGTGTGTTACATTTTAATTTATTGAATTAACCTATTCTTGATAGAAATATTCTTAGTCAAAGTCACATGAATTATAATTTCGGATATATCGGATAGTATCGGAAGATTAAAATATTTCGGAAAAATATCGTATTTTCGCCAAAATTACGGATTTTAGGAACAAATTTCGGATCAGCTCTCAAAATCCGAAATATTTAGGATTTGAAAATAAGGTTTCGCCCACATCATTAATGCAATGGCCATATTTAAATGGTATTTATGCAAAAAAAAATTGGTACAAAAATAAAAAGCTTATATAATTTATTTTAGCAAACTAAAGCAAATTTGCTACTATGAAGGAACTACTTAAACAAAATAAGCTTACAAATGAATATTATGAGCAATCACTAAATATATTTCGATTTTTCAGATAATATTATAATATTAACTGAGATGAAAAGTGTGTCTCACGAATAATATTTTCTATTTGTAATTTAGTTACTTATTGTGCTTTAGCGTGTAACGGTAAGGGACGCAGTTTAATCTTCTGTAAATTGGGCGGTGTCAATAAAACGTCCGAATGGATATTTGCAAAAAGAGTGTTGGTTAAATAAAGTGAATGTCGGCTAAAAAGGTGCATATGAAATTTATGATGATTTAAATGCGAGTGACATTATACTTTGCAAACTACATATAAAGTGCAATTTTTATGGTTACATCATAAGACCGGACCAACTCGAAATTTTGGACTTTTTTTTTTTCATAAAAATTTAAATGTCCCAGTGGCCCGCCTTTCATTTGAAAATATTAATTCTAAGCAACTGATTTTACGAACTTCAGGCTAGAATTATTGTTATTTATAAATTTATTCATGACTTAACATTATAAAATTATGAAGTTTTCGTTTGGACTAAAAAACGTGTATCAAATGAGAGAGAAAAAAAAACCTAGAAACATAAATCCATTTATGAACCTTTGAAGAATTGGACTAATCGAAAGTCATAAGAAAACATTTTGAATTTCTGCAAATCACAAAAAACCATTTAATTTATTATTTTGCTACTGATTCATTTAAAAAATTATAATAGTTTAATATTATCGTTATGTAATGTTTAAATACATTAACTATCTGATACGATAAATTTCATATGGGAGGACGTCAGCAAAAATAGGGGGAAATCTGAAAATTTTGCTAATTTTAGTTCTTAAGCTAATTTTGAGGACCAATTAAAAAAAATTTTTAGAATCCCCCCTTTTCTATTGGCTGTATTGACTGCTGCGCAATATTTTTTTCTGACTTTTTTTTTTTTTTTGATACAAATACAATATATAACAGATTGCTATAAAACTTATGCCGCTTAAAATTCCAATTACGATTATCAATATTTTCATTTGGCCGGGAGAATTTGGCGATATATTACTTGAATCATTAAGCTCAAATTTATTAACCCAAGTATAATTCCTTACATCTAGCAAATAAATTTTTGAGCCATGGTTTTCTGTTGTTCCAGTTAGATTAGTGAAGCGTCCTATATAAATAATTCAATAAAATTTATTTATTTAACTAATTAAAAATTAAAAAGGAAATTTTCAAACTTTTTATAATATTACCAAAAGTTATAATCATAACATTTCCGACCAAATTAGCAGTGTGAAACGTGAGTGATGGAAATTCATCAATATTTGATGATAATTTTGGTACAGTCCATTCGAATGGATTTGTTAGAGTATTCAAAACAGCTAAATCTGGTTTAGCTCTGACATCGTAATATTCCGCAGTATACTTTACCCCACCGAAAATAATTATATTTCCATCCGAAGCTAATGGAATGCATACAGATAAATTATCATATAATAATATAAAACAAAAGATAAAAAGATATCGTACTTAATACAGCTGTGTGAGAATGACGTGCTTCAATCGAGATATCATTTTTCGCTTGCTTCAAGAAATTTTAATTAACAAATATTTATTATATTTATCAAAATATGCGAAGGATTATAGTAATGAATATTTATAAACATACCATGATTGACCAAGATGATAAGTTAGTATTATAAAGGTAAATTTGATTCATATCAACTTCAAATCGTATATTCTCAACATTATATTCACGTCCTCCAATATATACGATGGTACCGTCGTTTAGCAATGTCGCAGTGTAAAGATCCCTTTTTAAGGGATTATTGACAAGTGAACCATATGACCATGTTAATTCATTGGTATTTAAAATTATCATATCATTAAAATGTAGATCAACTTTTGATCCTACAGTAATATTAGCATATCCACCGAAAATATAAACGTTTCTAAAATCATTAACAGCTTGAATATTAATACGTCGTTCTGGAACTTTTCCTGTAACTGTAGGTATCTTCCATTGCCCTGATTTTGGATTAAATGTGTGCACTAGTGAAACAAATGAATCTTCATTATTTTGATTTTGCATTACTCCCCCGATTAAATAAATATCATTATTGACCAATGCAATAGCGGCTCGTGAGCTTCTAAATGGAATAGCAGATGTAGCTGAAAGATCAATCCATAGTGGAGCTGACATATTAAATGGCTTTGACAAATCCAAGTAAAATACTTCAGTTAGTGAAACATTGCTAGCGCTTTTTCCACCAAAAAAATAAAGTTTGTTATCTATAAGCATAGAGGAAGAAAAAACACGTCCTATTGGGACAAATGATTCAACTCCACCAAAGAAGGAATGAATATATAAAATAAAAAACACATAACATGAAATATGATTACGGTATGTCATATTTAATTTAAAGCGTAAATTATTTTTTAATTTCAAAATAAAAATTTATGAATAATTAACTCATTGTTTGTTGATCAGATCATCATATTGTTGTTGATCGTTTTTAATTTCATTGTCTGGACAAAAAAGGTTTGTCTGACTCAGGGTCCTGACAACAATGTGACGTAAATATTAAAAACAGTGCTGACAATAATTTCATTACATCTTTAAAATCATTTAAATTTCGACTTCTTTGCATTAATTATTATTGAGACATAATATACAGTATTAGTCATAAATTGTTCCAAAATTCAGCTATTTCAAGAACATTCGATAATAAGTAATAAGTATGTTTAATCGGGGGTGTGTCGCGTACGAACACCACCTATGTGACTTTCCTATTGTTAATATGTAATATCAACTTATATCAGCTGCATGACATTAGTGAGAAGAGTGCGTTGGAACACGTATGAAAATATCGCGCGCTTACGTGTTATGACACTTGATATATTTATCATGGTTATAATTACTTGCGATAGTTACATTGCAATAGAATAAACCTTAGCTTGTGAATGGCCAAATTCTGGAACGCCTTTTTCACAAGGGTACCACTCGTTGGTGGGAAACCCACTTCGATACTGACTGTCACGAGTAGATTGACATGGTTAAAAGCCTGGAGAAAATGTGACATGTGGATTATAAAGACACATAGGAGGATATGCCTCGTCTGCGGATACAGTTCTCTATATATTGAAACATCAATCTGAACTGTAAAGGTTAAGAGACAACTAGCAGCCAAGCCCCGTAAAACCCGCACGTGATAGTGCAAACAAAATGACTATTTCTTTGATGTTAGCACTTTATGAGCCTTATACATGGCGTGTATGTATGGGCATGGGGAAGGTTCACAGACTTTAAGGTCATCAGTAGGGAAATTAATGATGTAGTTGGGGCTAAGCAAGTGTGCTGGTGTGTACTCGGTCCTGTAGTCAGGTATCACTTTATGTGTAGGGCTGTAGCACAGGTGCTTGTGTGTTTCCATGAGTGAAGTTTATCGGCCTAGCTGAAACACAAAGTCGATGAAAGCAGAAATGTGTGCTCGGGCGGGATAGCATTATGCGGCCTTATCTGAGATTCGAAAACGTTTAAAAATTCAGTTGAACTGCTCGTTTAACCTTTAACAAAATCGCAGTTTCCTTATGGGTATGCTAAAGGTAAGCTTGAACCGCCGTGTAGTCTTTTAAAGGCGTGCACCGGCTGCATTGTGATGATTTTTTACGTGTGGACTCAATCGGATCATATTAGTCAGGTGGTCAACGAATTTTAATCTCTAAGACCTATTAAATTTAAGTTTATAAAGGAAATAAAAAAGTTACAATACCTTAAGAAACCCTATAAGAATAAAAAGTATTCTTTGTCCTGGTAGAGGTGATATTATTTCTAATTGGTCCTTACGATCATTGCTGAAGCTAACAATCGAAGCGCTAGGGGGATAATGAAGTTCACAGAAGTGTACCTCTGGTTAGACACAGTGGATCTATAATGAATCTAGAAAACGTGACCTAATTTTTGTTTAGCAGCTGATAAGTGCAGTAGCTACTGCAATGATCTGCATTAATTCTAGTTACAAACACAAGGATACTAAGCAAAGTGATTCATGAATTCGAGATAGAAGCTATGGTTAATCGGTGGACGGATTTGGAACCCTTGTGGATAGCTTAAGGAGGAACCAACGCTTTGATTGGTGGACCCTTTAATAACCAATTTTCAGCAAACCCGGTATGAAGTAAATTTCCTATTGAAAAAGGTCTAAAGTTGGTAGCAATTATTAAAAGGTTAGACACTCTTATGCAATAACATCAAGTAACTGAGTATTAGCCCATTTGAACGATATGACGAGTAGAGTGTAGCAGTAGCATTTGAAATTTCTCTCTTTGCTTTATGACGGTTATGGGTGAGCTTTTAAATAAATCCGTTAAAACTCTTTGGTTTGTAGATTGAGTCAAATGATACCACGATCATGTTAGCTTAATTCCATGAACTCTCTCAACTTTCTGACTAAAACAGGCAGTTGATATAGGCAAATCTTGTGGTTTCACAAGCTATCATTTGAGCAACTTTTGATTAAACCTGTTTTCCTTTTTAAAAATCAGCAGAGTTACAGCTTTCTAGTACGTGATGTGAACCAAGGTGGTTGCTTCATTAGCTAATGTTGGTAGTAAAATTTCCACCTCTAAGCTTGCCAAACCTTCCGATTCATTTACTGGCCCAGAACCATTCAAGATGGAAGCTTTCGTGCATCTAGGCTATTAACTGGGTATCTATAGACTATAGAGTATAAGAAAGTGGATCTATGGAAAGGAAAGAGCTGTAGCTGCAGTATAGTCTCGCCACACTAAGTGGTAATTCTATCTGCATTTTTTAAAATTCAGTTTACCATGTGATAAATTGGGATGAGAGGTGGTTATCGATTTTAAGATAATTATATTATTGATCTGTGGGTAAGCTTTTAATAAAATCATGAAACCCTCCAGTTTATTCATTTATCTGCTACCCGAGAGGGAGGAAATAAATGTCATCATAAAGTTATATCACCACCTATACCCTGTGGTTGAGTTAGGGACTTTTCAGTGAAGTGAAAACTGCAAAATAGTTCTTGTGATATATTAAAATAGAGATTGAGAGTTGTTACGATACAAATAATAATTGTTAAAAAAGATGCTAATATTTTAATATTTAGTGAGAAACTGTCATAACGGCTAAGCTATTGTTATAAACTAGAATTTGAAAAAAGATATTTATATGGTTACAGCTGCCTTGGGTTAAGCAACTATTCTCGAGCCACTGAGTATATTTCTAGTGGCCGGGTTTGGTACCTCTGCCTTAATAGCTGACATAAAATAAGGGTATAGATGTTGGAATTGGCAAGTTTTATATTTATATCAATATAAAATGACAAGAGTGTCTTAGTGCTTCCCTATACTTCCATGTAAATAAATCCCGATTAAAAAAAGTAAATTGGAATTTTGATCTCATAAAAGAATTGTCACATGAACTTATAACTAGTCAGTAATGATTTTCTAATAAGGACATTAAACTTGCGTCAAAAGTCACGGGATGAATTTTGGACAAAATTTTACGCAGCGCGTTACATAAGTTATTGGTAAATAGATTTTCTTTTTTTTTCTTTGACCATTCGGGCATTTATTTCATAGGAAATAAAATTTTCTTTTTAATATAAATAATAAAGATAATAAAAATAAAATATATTACTTGTTTTAACTTATAATCTTTATAATTACCAATAATAGTATTTACATCTAAATTTTTCTTTACTTTTCGTGAAATTTTAGTCATACCGGTAGAGTATATAGACATTATAATAGAACTAGTACCATCATGGTCATAGTACTTTCCATACTGACAAACCCATTGATCCAAGAACGGAGGACCTACAAAATTAATAATAAAACATGTGGATTATAATTACTCGAAAGTTTTGGCATATACTTAATCAAGGAATTAATGATTAGCGCGGATTCCCCTGTTGATCTTTGTATTTATGGATAGCAAAGCTTTTTATTATAATTTTTAAGTGGATCCGTTGATCAGATTTTCATGATGCGATTATATTAACGTATTTTCACCAAAAGCATATTCCCAAATCAATCTTGTAAATATATAAAAAGGTGATACACCATTTATCCTCCATGTGAAAGTCAAGCGAAAAATCAAACGAATATTCTATTCCGCAAAGTAGTAATAAGGTGGGATGGTTTATTGCTCGACTAGCTTTTTGAAACATGTCATCACGATGTTAATCAATTTTCCCGCCTCTATAGATGTTCCAAAATAAAACGGACATATTATATAGTCTATATGGGTAAAATTGATGAAATTTTTGTAGATATGAGTTGGATGATTTATTTCGAAAACGATGATGTGACAATCTTTTTTTTTACAAATTTTTTTCTTTTTTTAAATCAAACATGTCTACGAGTACTACTACAGATCCATCAGTAGAAGACATGGAAAGATTTAATACGGAACAACTTATTGATTTTTTACGAACAAAGAACTTGTTATCCCTTAACGACATTGTCTATAAAAAAATTCGTGATGAGAGGGTCGCCAGTTTAGACTTCCTCCAATTAACTAGGGAAATACTTCGTGCTTAACCTTACAGATTTCCTGATGGACCAGCAAGATAGATCGTAATATTTGTCAATAAGTTGAATAGACAAAGCAAGTTTATCATAAATAATTCATTTGCACTCCTCACGCGTTATTCAACAGATGTTTTTCAGGGCAGTTATTTTAGTAATATTTACTTAACACAATTTTATTTTGTTTCAGGACTTCTCAGTCAAGAACAAGTTTTTTCGTGTATTCCACCACCTCTAACATTGCGTCCAAATGCTGTTAAGAGAATTAGTACCATGAATTCGAATTCGGGCGATTTCAAACCAGTGGTGCTTCTTCCTTGGGAACGCTTTTTAGAGGAAGTGAATAATTTCAAATTCAGCAACCAACCAGAATATAATAGGCCACAACTTATTGACTATTCACAGATGCATAATGAAATAAACGTTCAAATCGCTTTTGAAACAAATATTTGTGTAGTTTTAAATAAACTTTTGAAAGATTACGATATTTCAAGAGACACGACCAAAAACCCTGGTGAACTAGATTTTATTGTCCACTTTGTTTCATTTCAAGTGCTCATAACAATTAAGGTCAAGAGAAAACATGTGTTAGAAGATATTGGTGAACAATCATTTATAGAATTTCATAAACACGATTCAAAAGCACAAAGTGTAATTAGGCTTATTTATAGTTATATGGTAGTGAATCAAGTTAAGTATGGCGTACTTTCAACTTATGATAATCATTGGTTTTTGCGACGGCTGGATGATAATGAAGAAAACGGAGAGAATCTTTGAATATTAGAAGTTCTTCCATTAAAGTCCGATTCTGCACCTGTTCTTAAGGCGTATGCATATATCATTAAAGAATTATGCAAGGATCCCAATTCCTCCCACTCAAATATAATTATGGTACCAGCTAATAAAAAAAATGAACAGTCAGTTTCTATACGCGTAACATGAAATATGATGAAATCAGCTTCAAAAGAGAAGTCATCTTCTGGATCACATCAAAAAAACGAAGAATCAGAACCTTTATTTTACGGACTTCAAATTTAAGGATATATTAGGCCATGGACGAAGTGGAAAGACGCTACTATGTGAATTTCGCAATAATACAATTGGAAATCCCGATCATTTATCTTGAAAGAAATGAATAATGAAGTCAAGATGTATCAAATACTTAATGACCTTCAGGGGAAATACATTCCAAAATTAGAGTGTTACGGCTACTTTGAATATGGAATGTGTTATGTTATTGGAACAACTCTTGTTGGTATTACTTTAAGACTTCGTAAGTATATAACAGAACGGCAAAAGGTTAAGGGTATACTTGCATTAAAGGCAATATGATGGAGGTGTTCTTCACAATGACATTCGTAAGGAAAATATATTGCTCAAAGTTGGAGGTTATTTGATGAAGAGAAACGTAAATTGAAAAGCTTGCTTGACCATTATACTTTATTAGATAGCCATAGTATTTGATTCTTAAAATGTCAAGTAATTCGTATAATTGCACATTTTATATATGTTTTAATCAGCAACTGCTTTTGCAATTTGTTTTTTATCAATAAAAAGAAAAGGTGAAAAATCTAGTTAAATTACAATAAATATGCCTAAAAAATTTGTCTTAATATCTTATGGTTGTGATGAGATTGAGTTTGCATGCTATGCGCCGATATTGTACAATGAGCTGTGCGAGACTCCTTATTTCGCAGATTCACACTGAAGTTTCGAATCCAAATTAATAGGACAACCAAAGAGACATTACGCAACTTTAAAAAGTATGATATATTTAATGAAATTTCAGTTCAAGATTCCTCAGAAATTTATTAATATTCGTCGAGGCTTTTTACTAAAGTTAATATTAATTTGATTTATTTCCAATACTACTGATATCTCGTATAATTATGTCTTTCAATGATTGAGACAAATGAGTTAATGTAGGTAGGTAGCTTAGACAGCCGAAAACTTCTGCAGGCATTAATGTAGAACCATGTGTCAGTCGATAAACTAATTCGTTCTGACACAAATGACGAATTCTATTTATGTGCTAGAAATCATCCGCCGCAGTTCTTAATATATCATTTATCACTGGGAAAAGGGAAGGTTAAAATATATGATAAATCTTAGTACATCGACATATATACGAAAATGCATACTAGAATTTAACCGAATCTAATTAACAACAAAACTAAGTTCATTACTCAGGATCGCCTAATGTAAAGATTTAATAACAATATAAAATAGAGGTGTAGTTAGTATCTCAAAGACACGAACTCATGTCGAAAGCATGACAATTTATACAAAAATCCTAATAATAGGCATGATGATACAATAAATGTAATAAACTCAAGGCTTTTATTAAGTTTAATAAATGTTAATATAACGAATGAGAAATATCTATTATGTTAAATTTTCGACTTATGCAGTAACAAATTTTATTATTTACATAAATAAAATTACAATATTATGAGATGAATCTTTAATATATAATGCAAGATTACAAGGTCATTGACTACATTTCAAATGACTTTGTAATACCATTATTAAATTTTAATATTATTGATGTCATATGATGTCATTTGAGCCCATTTTCATTTTCCATAACTCAAACCGCTTACATTCTACCTACTTTAAATCATTTTGTTTTTCCCTCGATTACGTATTCCACATTCTTAAATTACTCCACTTTTAATCTGAAAGAACTTACTAATGACGTGACGATAGATGCAATAATTTTCTTAAGTCATACAACCGATTCTACAACAGTCGGCCCTTCTTTTATTATTTAGAAAAGAATCTAAACTTAAGAAAATTAATCTAGAATTCATTAAAAGATGATTTTCTATTCAATGTTAATTTAAATTAACTATCATATAACGATTTGAAATATGAACATTTTTAAAAATAATATTTATTTCTTTCATAACTGTTAGGCCGGGAAAATTAAATTTTTATGAAAATGGAATATCACGTGAAGCATAAAAATTTTACATACAACTAAAAATAATTATTTTGGTGTATAGAAAAGCGATATTTAATAACTTTTTTTTATATCCAGTCACTTGTAGGATGTTTGGTCGAAAATGAATTATTTGTTCAGAAGTATTACAGAGGTAGACAAAAGTTTCCGGACACTTTTTCACCAAATATAAAACTTATAATTCAGCATTAATAGTAAAAGTTTTAATATTATTTTATTTAGAGCTGGTTAAGGCATACATTTCGTATTAAACTTTTAGCACTTGGTTGGGCCTCCCTTTGCCGCAATCACAGCCTGAATTCGCTGTGGCATGTTATCTACTAAATTTTCAATAGTATGCATCGGAATTTCTCGCCATGCCTTTTTAACATATCGGTCGAGTCAGCAAGATTCGATGGTGGTTTTATATGCACGAATGCTTTTTTTAATATCAGCCATAAATTTTCAATTGGGTTAAGATCAGAACTTTGGGCTGGCCAAATAAAATATGGCTCCGCGTTGTTCTTTGGTTAATTCTTTATTTTATCCCTTTATATTTCGATTTGGTAGAGATTAAGTGAATTAAGTCAAAACAACAAAATCAACACGAATTTTTTATTTTGATTATGTAAATAAACAATAGACGGTCATATGACCGCAGTATGGTATTACAATTATATGACGAAAATTTGTTAAATCGCATTTATAAAGTGACCGGAAACTTTTGTCCACCCTCTGTATTTTAAAATAATTTGACAATATAAGTTTAAATTTCTGAATGTAAACAATTTCATTTTTTTTATTTTCCAGTTCGAAACTGTCTGACCATTAATGAAAACGAAACGTTATTCCAGATTCCCAAATAGATGCCCAATAACATATGATAATAAAGTAATTGATGATCACTAAGCCAATTTGGATTCGATTTATCGGAAAAAAATATATGCCGATATTGAACGGATCTGATAACTTAATTTGTTAAATTATCAGATCAGATTCACAGTTAAACATCCAAAAAAAAAATTTTTCTTAATTCTTTGTAATACATTTTCGTCTTCATTCCACTGATTCATATTTAAACCTCAAAGAAGAAATTTTGATTTTATAATGTCACTTGAGTTATCAGAAGAAGAAAGATTTGGTACTGAAAATTATGGAAATAACGAATCGAATAAGGGTTCGTTGTTAGTAAAAGAAAATGATGAAAAAGAAAGACCTTGGAAGTATAAAATAATTGCTTTGCTATGCGTTTTATCTTTAGCTCGTAAGTCTATCTATTAGGAAATTCATGTGATTTATCATTTTTTAATCATGTGCATTTTTTTTAGTGGGAAGTCATTACTCGGCTCATACTCTTGACGCTTTAAAATCGGTTATCAAAAAGGTAAGGCATTTCATAATAAATGTTAAATAATGATGAGTTAATTAATTTTTTTCCTTTAAAAGGAATTAGACATTTCAAATTCTAAATATGGAGTCATTCAGTCATCAGTATCATTGGTTAATACAATTCTACCAATTCTCGGTGGAATATTCCTTGATACATTTGGCACTTTAGTTGGTTCTGTATTGGCAACTTCTCTTATAGCTATGGGAAATATATTAGTTGCATTATCAACTGATTTAAGATCATTTGCTGTAATGGTCATTGGTAGAATATTATATGGAATTGGAAGTGGAACTATTGTTATCGTTCAAGTGACTATACTAAGTCATTGGTTTAAGGGAAAAGGACTAGCTATCGCTGTGGGAATTCAGATCGCTGCGTCAAGATTGGTATGAAGCAAAACAAAATGTATTGATTGTAATTTGTATTTTCTTACTTTTTATTTAAAATTTTTTTTTTTATAAAAATAGTTTGGCTTCTTGGCTAATATAACCGTTATCCCAATCACGAAGCTTACAGGATCATATAAATGGGCATTTTGGGTACGATTATTGTAACATTCATTGAAGTCTTGTTTCACTGAACTAATTCGTTCTTTCCTTAAGTTTGCAGCATTTCTCTGTATCTTTTCGATGTTAACCAACCTCGCGTACGTTCTTTTGATGAAAATTCTTAACGAGAAGATAAAAACCCAAGAATTATTAAAGTTAAAACAAAAGAAACGTTTTGATCCTAAAAAATTATTGATTTTTCCTGCTATTTATTGGATCATTGTTTCACTTGAATTTGTACTGGGTAGCGTGTGGACTTCATTTTTAACCATCAATACGTAAATATTCAACTCATTCACCTTATAACTTGATTTGTGGTTAAAATTAATTACATGTATATTATAGGGAATTGGTAAAAATTCGATGGAACCATACGGATGAAATCGCGGCTTACAATTCTAATATTTCTCAATTGTTCCCAATCTTTATTTCACCTTTTCTCGGATACTTTTTGGATCGTTTCGGAAATCGTTCCTTGACCTGTAAGGATTAAAGATTCATTTCATTTCTTGAATTTGATAAGTATGTTAATGCTTTTCCTTACACTCCTTACTTTAGTGGTCGTATCCGCAGTATTTCTCGTAATATCAATGTGTCTCCTTGGATTCACATTAGCATTTACTCCGATAATTGGAATGGTTTTTTTTTCACTTTCACTTTCATTAGGACCAGTAGCATCATTATCATCAATACCGATATTATTACCTTTAGATTATGTTGGTACCGCAATAGGGATAGTTAAATCAAGTTCAAATATTGGATCTACAATTTATGATATAGTTGTAGGATTATTACAAGATTTGGACAAAGGAAAGTACGATATGGTAATGATATTTTATTTGATCAGTAGTATAATTGCCGTAATAGTAACTATCGGCTTATTTTTTGTATCAAAAAATTGGTGCGATGGTGTAATGGATATGAAGGAAAGTAAAAGGAATAGTTATTACGAGGAAAAACCTGTTAGACTTGAAAAAAAACGCGGAGTAATGAATTACCTTTTTGTCGGTGGTATTATTTGTGCGTTAATTTCAAGTTGGATTTTATTTTTCAATTTTGTATTTTTTAAATAAGAACTTGAATTACTTTTGCAATATATTTCGTAATGACCAGATATCTTACTTGCTTCTTTAATGAAATGATTTTTTTTTAATATGCTTATATTACTAGATAATTCATTTTATTTCATTCAAATATTATATTGAAGATAGCGCGCTGTTTCATTAACATATTTAGTGTATGATCAGATATCCCGAAATAAAAATTATTTTTTTTTAAGATATTGAAACATCTCTCAATAACAAAAATAAAAATAAAGAATGGTTTTCAACTTTATTTATCAAGGTGATTCAAATAACAATTCGTAATTTAATTAAAGATTTTTCATAAAATCCCATTTTTTTCAATATTTGAAGAATAAAAGTTAAAAATGAACAAAAAGTATTGTAATGGGTATCTGATAAATATAGTGATCAATATTAAAGTTTTTCTTATTTATTTAATCATTTCAGATAACATCGTCAAAGCAACATTCTATTCTTATTAGATATTCCAACAAAAATTATTTTTAATATGTTACTATCATACTTCATAATCATCAATCTTAAACTTTTCAGTGAATGAAACATTAGTATTTCCAGAACCGATTTTTTTTAATTTAATTCGCGGTTATACCTCGTGATAAGCTCACAAAGATTTCATTTGTTCTTACCTGACAAATACATACAACGAATAAGTCGTCCAATGAAAACTGAATCTAAAATAAACGCATATAAATGAAATGTAATGGTCTTAAATTATATTTTAATAAGTCTTATAAATGGTTTACAATTTATTACATTTAAGGTTACCAAGTTAATAATCGCACGAACCAATCGTTCAAACTATAGTAAATTGTTTTAATATCGATATTTCTAAAAAATCTAATGATAAAGAAATCAAATATTACCACAAATTATCCACTTCAATTTTTTTTATAATTTTATATAAATTTCTTTTATCATATTGTCTTTTTACCCATGCATTTTATTGTGTGTAAAATAATAATAATAACGTGCTAGTTTACAATTTCTAGAATAATTAGAAGAAAGCGGATTCAAAAAGCGTAATTCGGTTTTAATAACACCTGATCATGGATTATGCAGTAAACTTTGGCATCAATTCACTTACAACACTAACACCCGGAAACAAGAAAATTTCCCAATCAAGAAGAATTTATCAACACGATAAATCATATATGGTTGATATTATGTCAAAAACAACAAGTATATACGGACGTAATACCAACAGCATTAATAAAACATTTGTGTAATAACGTGTGGAAAATATTTATTCTCAGTTATTTCGTTCACATCTATTCCGTTTGAACCACGCAATATTAACTTTTGTTTTATTCCACCTTGAGTATCATTCTTTTATACAAAAATAAAAAATTCAACTCGTCAACAATTTTATTTATTCATAAGAACTTTTCAAACATTACTTTCGCAATATATGTAGGAAATAGGTATTGTATAAACTAATTTATTTTCATAAATTAAAATGCTAACAAAAATATATCTCAAATTTATCGGATATCTTATTATTACAAGAACTTGTTATGTTATTAATATCATAATGAAATAAATTTCATTCAATTATAATCGTTGAATAAATATTGATATCAATATATAATTTGAGCATTAAAAAAAAAAAATTTAATCCCTCCCAAATTTGCTACAAAAAAAATCTTCCAATATTTCAATCTCCAATTATAACTCAACAACCATCATCATAAATATTTAGCAAACCCAAACCACAGAATATACCACCAATCATCTTGGTATCAATACACACATTATTGATCTATTATCTCATGATCCAGTCCAGTAATGCAATTATACGTGTTAGAAAAGTATACAAATAAAAATTGACAATTAAAAATAACAAAAATATAGCAAACCAAATCCATAGAAAGTTTCACCAATCATCTTATAATTCATATATTAAACATTAATAATCTAACACAACCAAATTTACCATACATTATCATTAATATATTTCTATGATCACATAATCCAATCGAGTAGATGCATAAGACGCGTTAGTAAAACATTATTTTAAAAAATAAATACAACAAATAATAATCAAGACAAAGCAAACCTAATTCACAGAAAGTTTCATCAATCATCTCATTAATCATTATCAAACTAAAACTAAATCAACCATACATTTTCACCTCATTAATATGCAAATATACAACAAAAAATAACTAATACAAAGCAAGCCAGTCTGCAGAAAATTTCATCAATTATTTCACAATCCATATAATATTCAACCCAACCAAATTTATCTTATTGTTGATATTTTTCCATTATCATATAATCCAATCCAATAGATGCATAATACGCGTTAGTAAAACATTTATTTTAAAAAAATAAATACAACAAATAATAACCAAGACAAAGCAAACCCAGTCTACAGAAAATATCTATTAATCATTATCCAATCCAACTAAATCTACTATACATTATCATCTCATTAATATGCAAATATAGGGGGCAGTCAATATAAAAGGGGGAAATCTACAAAATTTGAGTAATTTTAGTTATTAAGCTAGTTTTGTTTATATGACCATGATCAGCAGAGTGAACCAGTAAAAAAATGTTGACTAAAAAGTGGATTTTCCTCTTTTCTACTGACTGCTTCATATTATTAATATTTTTCCATTTTCATATGATCCAATTCAGCAAATGAATAAGAGAATTAGTAAATTATATAAAAAAAATATAACAAAAAATGACCAAATTAAAGCAAACCAGTCTGCAGAAAATTTCATCAATTATCTCATAATTTATATAGTATCCAATTCAATCAAATTTACTATATTGTTGATATTTTTTCATTATCATATAATACAATCCAGTAGATGCGTAGGAAGAGTTAGTAAAACATATAAAAAAATACACAAAAAATAATAAAGACAAAGCAAACCCAATTTACAGTAAGATTTATCAATCATCCATTAGTCATTATCTAACATAACTAAATCTTTCAGTGCATATAAAAAACTATAACAAAAATTAAACCAAGATAAAAAACCCAATTTGCAGAAAATTTCATCAATCATCTCACAATACATATAATATCCAATCTAACCATTATTAGTTATACTTCTAAAGAATTATCCAGCTAAATCAATGCAATTAAGTACATTATTATATAAAACAAAAAATCAAGAAATGATAAATCTAATTTACAGAAATTTCGTCTATAACTTTATAATTTATTAGCATTTTCAAATAAACAGTTTCAACTAAGAAAATGCAAACTTGGTCTTTAGAATATTTTATAATAAATACTCATAATTACTTCATATATTTTATATCATGAGAATTAAAATTAAACTTATTAATAGAATATAATAATATAAAAAAAAAACTAATTTATATGGTTAACCAACCTAATTTCAGACAATTTCACTATATATATTAAATATATTATACATTTTTATCATTTCCTTTTCTATTTTAATATTATTATTTATATTTGAATAAGAAACTAAACAATAAAATTGATAAGTAAGTGTACTTATTATCATAAACTAAGAAGGAAAGAGAGTAAAAAAATTACATTTATTCAAAATAGCTTTATTTTATTATTTTATAAACAATAAGAAAGAATTTGATTGATTGATAAATTTGATATTATTAGTTATGCAATAAAAAAAATGTTTCTATTTTTTTTATACTAAATAAATGACTAGTTACATATAGTGTAAATATAAATTATATAATAAAGATTTTAAATTTACGTAAATATTAATTCTTTACCAAAGAAATAATAAAAATATAAAAAAGTATCTATAAAACTATTCTGATTTTGAACTATTTAAAATAAAAATAATAAAAATATCTGTATTTACAAATGTTTCACCATAATATTACATTTATATGTCTATTATAGACTAAAAAATACTATAAAATGTAAGTATTTGCATCATTATCATCAAAAACTAAGAAGAACATTCACATTATTTTGTAACAATGACTATGATAAGCTTTCAATTCATCAATTTGTATATTCTATTTACTATTTAAATTTCAATATAAAAATCATTAAAAATAGGGAAGAATGTTTACAGAAAAAACAAGAACACTTTTAGAAGTAAATGAAATACGCTATAAATTGCAAGTATTCATGATTTTTATAAAGGAATATTTATATATGTTCAATTATTAATACAGAATCAATAGACCTTAATCTCAGAAACTCCTTTTAAGATTTTTTCATTCCGCCATCTGAAGGGTACTCTTACTCAAACTGTAACTATAAAATACTTTCAATTCTCAGATTATTTTTACCTAATTGTAGGGTAACTTTAGATACATAATGACTTGATAAATAACTCAGTAAGACCACTTACCTAACATTAATTTTAGTAAAGCTCCTTAATTTAAATCTTTACTTTTCTATAATAGATTAACAATATTTATTTTTTTATTGCTGTATATATCCAGTTTTTTATTTATAATTTATTACTACATAAAAGATATACTATTTACTTTTGATAATACTTATTATTACTTTCAGAATTATTATTAACTTTGCCTACAGTTCATATAAAAAAAAGAATAAAGATTGTGAAAAAAAATCATGATCATTTAGTCATCAATTGTATTTTAATTTAATGAATACAAAAAAAAAATAAAAGAAAAATTATATAGTTAAATTTTTATTGCTTAAATGAATAAATTAAAATTAATAACAAATTTTTTTTATGAATACACAGAATATTCATTAAAAGATATTAGATTATAATAATTAATAACATGACCAAATTGATATGTATAAATCATATACTAAGTAGAAAAAAATTTCATCCCAATATACTGACTGTATATATATATATTTTTTTTTTTAAAAAAAAAAGAATTTGGTTTTATATTTGAACTGATTATGCAATCAATCACTTGATGACAATATGCCTTTACAAATCTAAATACTAGTAAAATATAAATATTAATATTTAAATAAAATTTTCATTTTTATTTTATTGTAATCACTAATTTGAGAGAAATAGGAATTAAAAATTGATTTATTTCAAATATGTCTGATGAATTTGTTACCTATCCCTTTAATTGTAATAAATTACCTACAAATT